GAATAGTTCTGTTAGAAAGTTCTTCCTTTATATTAAGTTGAAGTTGGTGCTAGTTTTACTCTCTGAAAAACCTGTTTCCTCTTTCATATGACAACCCTCTAACTCTTTGAAGATGGACAATATGTCAGGATAGAAAGGTCACATGGAGTAGAAATCCTTCGGAGATGCCCACTTAATCCCAGCCCTGCTACTAAGTAGCTGTCATTTAACCTTTGTGGGCTCTAATTTCTTCATATATAAAATGAGATGCCAGGACAAGATCATCTTTAAAATTCTAAGCCCTAAAATTCTATACTTCTCTGATTCTCCGTCTCACCTCAGTCTTCTGTTCTGCAGGTTAAATACCCTCAGCTCCTTCAACTTTTCATGACACAGAGTTTACAGATTTTTCACCATTTTTCCTGTCCTCTAGACATACTATGATTTGTCAATAGTCCCCTTAAAATGTGGCACTCCCAACCGAACACCACAGCCCAGACATGCCTCTGACCAATGCAGAGCAAAGTGGAATGATTACTTCTGGCAAATACCTCTGGAACACTATTAGGAAGGGTTAGGAAACATCAGGCCTTAATCACCAAGGCCTAGCTAGAACTAGATGACCAATGTAGAGGTGTGCAAGAATAAGAGCAAAGCTAGAATTGTGCTTGGCATCCAGTGGGAAATCCACAGCTGTTGATTGAATGGAAAAAGAAGAGATGATGGAAAAAGAGGTGGATGGAAAAGAGGAAAATCGACCTCAACCTTCTGTGAGAGGTTTTTGGAAAAGAGAAAGCTTGTGCTCGGAGTGGGGATGTTGCTGAGATTCTCGCTATGGGGAAGTGTCCTCAGCGGCTGTAGGCAAGGATTCTGAAGCTCCCTGAAAGATCTTCCAGTCTCCTAGTCAAGGACTTCAGCTTAGTCTAAAGCTGGAGGAAGTCAAGACCAGAGCCAAGGGACAGAGTCAAACATCCAATCCCAATACCACACTCACTGAGTAGCAATACAAGGACATCTTGAGTTAACATCAGGGGCCCTGCAATGCTGGATGTGTCAGTTGCCCCTCCTCATGTATGTTCTGAGTGGAAAGTTCTTATAGTCAAGATCTAGACTTGCCTGCTCTTCCCATTAATGGTGTGTATGTTGGTGGGAGAGTACACCCTGTTTTGGAGGGAATGCTCTACTGTGAATTTTATTATGACACCATGATAAATGACAAAATGGAGAAACTCAGAGGAAACTGGGAAGATCTTTGTGAGCTGATTCACAGTGAAGTGAGCAGAACTAGGTGAACAATTTATATAAGGACAGTATTATAGAAAAAGAAAACAGCTTGGAAAGACTTTAGAACTCTGATCAACAAAATGATTAACCAAGAATCCAAAAAAATGCAAATGTAACATGTTACTCACCTCACAATGGAGAGGTGATGAATTTAAGATGCAGAGGGAGACATACATTTTTGGACATAGTTAATGTGGGAATTACTTTTGCCGAACTGAAGGATTTGTTTTTCAAAATTTTTTTTTAAAATTTGCTCAGTGAGGAGAAAGAAATAGGCAGGACATATAAATTAAAAAAAAATTTGAAAAATAAAAATAATAAGCTATTTGAAAAAGAAATCTTATTACTAGGTTACTCCAATAAATGCTTTTTCATTAAGGTTAAAAAAAAAAAGGCAGAAAAGAGATGGAATAAATAGAAGTAGAAAAGCCAGCGTAGCCAAGTCAATTATCTGTAAAAAAGTTGAATTGTTGATGATTATTCCATTGTCGACTATTAATGCAGTACAAGTAGCCACCATAGAAACGATAGACTAAACCTTTTTATCCTTACTCCTCCTGAGTTTATACTGATAATCTTCAACAGGGCAATTTTAGTACATTGGTGGAACTAGGGATAAGAATTCAGTGGGAAGGAGTATCTGGATTTTATATGATTATAAATGATCACTCTAGACCTGGAAGGAAATTCAAAGGCTATCTAGTGAGAGTTAGAGTTAGAAACACAATTAGGGTTAGAAATAAAATAGACGTGGATTTAGGGTTTTACAGATGACAATAGAGAAAGGCTATTTCAAGGGGGAGAACAGGGCAGCTTATACTGGATCTCTCCTTCTAAGCATAGGGATAGGAATGAGGATTGGACCTATGGTTAAAGGGAAGTTGTGGATGAGGAAACTTGATCTACCAATGCTGGTACCTTTTTTGCAACTTACAGACTTACAGAGTTGTCTAGAGTACTGAGAAACTAAGTGACTTACCTAGGGTTATACATGACCTAGCCAGTATGTGTTAGAGGTGTTCCTGGCTTGGAAGCCGGTTCTATCCACTATATCAGAGGTATCAAGCACATAGGCTAGGCACCACATAGATGACCTATAACGCTCCCGAGTGTGGTCAAAAACCAGATTAAAATGTGACTGGGAAATACTTATTAAAATAAGTAAAAATACAATAAAACATAGATAATATTACTATGTGGTTTTCTAAGTTAATGTGATCTGCAGGGATCCTTATGATGTGGTTTAATGGTCCCCTTTTGTACCCGAGTTTAACACCACTGTATTACATCATTATGTTCCTTCGAGCATATATGGATGAAATCAGGTTAAAAATGAACATCAAGATGAGTCCTAAAGTGGAGAAAAGTCACAAACTACGCACCCTGAAGAGTGTGTGGGGATGGGAAACAGGGCAGACCAAGCACTCTGCTTGTTTATTGGATGATTTTTCATCCCATCTATCTATCCATATGAATTTTAGGTTTTTTTCTTTTTTTGCACCAGTTAATGGAGTCAACTCTTTTCTCCTTTCTGCTCTTTGCTCACCTGTTCAAAGCAGGGGGAATAGCTCCCAAAGCTAATTTGCTGTACCCTAAGAATAGTTCTGACAGGAATCATATGATTCAGAAATTCATCAGGCAAAAAGGAGAGAGGTTAGGTGGTAGCTTAGAAGGGGGCAGATCATTAATTGAATTTTTTTTTCTAGCTGGAGCATTAAAATAGAAGGGAAGGAGCCTATGGAGAGGGGTTAAAATCCTATCTCTGTTAATCACTACCTGTGTTACCTTGGCCAATCCCTTGATTTCCTTGGGTCTTAGTTTCCTCATTTGTAAAATGAAAGGGTTGGACCAGAAGATCTTTCAGGGCCCTTCCGGCTCTAAATCAGATCCTGTGAGTGCATTCTAGGCTTGGGGGACAGATTATTCAAAAGAATAGAGATGGACTGTGTGGTGTGGAGGGACAGCACACTGGCCAATTTGGCTGGAATTGAGTGTGTAAATGGGAACAATGTGCTATGTGCTTGGGGAAGTAAGCTTGGGCCAGACTGTGAAGGACTTTCCATGCTGTATTCAACAAGTTCAAGCTTCCATCGCCTTGTACTTGGATTACTGCAACAGTCTTCTTACAAGTCTCCTTCACTTGAGTTTTGATTCCTCTCATCCATCCTGCGGCTAGGTGGCTCAGTGGATAAAGTGCAAGAACTGGAGTCAGGAGGACCTGAGTTCAAATCCTGCCTCAGACACTAGCTGTGTGACCCTGGGCAAATCATTTAACCTCGTTTGCCTCAGTTTCCTCATCTTCAAAATGAGCTGGAGAAGGAAATGGCAAACCACTCCAATATCTCTGCCAAGAAGACTCCAGATGGGGTCACAAGGAGTCAGACATGACTGAAATGACTGAATGACAATCTGTCCTGCATATCATGGGTAGACTAATCTTCCTAAGCATACTGGCTCTCATGCAAACTTCAATTTTCCCCCATGGCCTATTGCATCTTAGCTGGCTTGGACTCTCAAGACTATTAGATTTGGAAAGGATCTTAAATAAGAACCTTTTAGCGATGAAGAAACTGAGACCAGGAGAGATTGAGTGACTTGCCCAGGCCCTCTATAATTTGGCTACACTGCACTTACATAATCTTATGTATCACTGATTTTTAACTTACTGTTCCAAACACACAGGTCTACTCACATAATTATCATTCCCATCTCCTCCTATTGAGTCTGAACTTTTAAGAGCAGGGACTATCTTTTCTATTTATCTATGGGGGACTATCTATCCCTGACAGCACAGTGCTTTGCATATAGTAAAAACTTAAAAAAATCTTTTTTATTCATTCATTCATTTATTCATTCTCTCTTAGATACCTTATAGGGTTGGGAAGAGAGGTCTTGTGATAGTTAAAGGTTCTATGTAGATGTCAGCTAATATTAACTTATATTTTTCCCTCATCAAATAGAAAAATAAAATGTTTTACAAAGGTAAATCCACATTCCACTCAAGAAAATATGTTGGCCAGCAAATCCACTTGTCCTGCTACAAGATGATCAATCAGTATAAATTTAATTCTTTGACAGAAGGAAAATTCCATACCTCTCTCTATGTACTTGCATTTGACACTTTGGAAAAGCTCAAAAGGGTCATTCAGTATTAATCTCTCTGAGGCTGGTTGATTTTATGATAGACCAGCTATGACAGAATTGGCAATGGTGCCCACCTTGTTTTCTAAGTGTTTATTAAAGTCAGAGACTTTGTCTAGTACACACGAGAGACTTACACAGCGCTATACAAAGTCAATGGCAGCCTGAAAGGCCAAATTTGATCTGAAACAATAGAGACCAAAAGAAAGCCCACCTTAGTCTTGACAGGTTTATCAGAGAAATAATGATTTTTTAAAAATAGCTATAAGGGAGGAACTAATGAAATAAGTTTCCTTTTCAGGTCACTTTCTTTGAAATATTGCATTTTTTTTTCTACTGAAGCTTTCTAAAAAGTAAAATTATATTCTTTATAGTATCCCAAAGGTTCAAAGGCAAAGAATGAATTTTGAATAAAGACACAGGATTCTCTCCTAAGGGTTGTTTCCTCCTTTCTTCATGCAGTTCCTTGGAGGATTAATTATTTAATATGATCTAATACCCCGTATCAACTATAAAGTGGGTATGGGAAATACAAAAAAAAAAAAAAACCAATTCAACTACAAAATGGGCATTGAGAAAACGAAAAAACAACTCACCATCTATTACTGGCTTTGGCTGAGAACTTTTGAGACGTAGGGAAGGTCGAAAGCGAGTTCGATCATTGAAACTCCAGCTTTTCTGCACTTTGGTTGGACTGCTCTCGGCTGTGATGTCTGTGCTCGGCGATCGCCGGTCTCCCACTGATGCTTGTCTACTTTTGATACTCTGACCTCTTGGGCTAGCCATCCGGACTCGTTCTTTAAAACTTAGCTTCTGGCTGTGAGAAATAGATGCAGTGTTTTATTATAGCTCGATGTATTTCTTCATCTTTACTTGGAAAAATAATTCGAGTCACCGGTACGCAGTGCATATCTTAGGCAATAAAGCAATTCAAAAAAGAAAAACTGGTTCCCTCCCTCCCCCATCCTAAAAAAAAAAAAAAATGAAGCCTTTCCAATCTGTGTGATTGCACGCCCTTGAAATCAATCACATTTTATAGGTAGTCCCTCTTGGATTAACTGTAGAAAGGATTAAAACAAAGCACAGCAATTTGGGGACAATCCAATGGAAGAGAACTATAAGCCAGCTAAGTTTTTGCTTTTAGGAGACAAGTAGGTGGTTTTCTTGATGGTTTTAACTTTAGAGAGTTTTCATATTTATTTCCTGTTCAGAGCAAGGTTCAGTGCATTTCTAATCATTTCTACAGGAAAACAGGGAAGACAGTTACTGATACACATATATATTTTCTACATGCTGCTTCTTTTGCGGGCAAGGTTATGATATTGAGAGATTCATGCATTTTCATGACAGCCGGCAATACTGCATACATATTGTCAGACAAACAACACTCCACACTTCACATTTCCTTTAGGCTGACATTCATTTGTGTGAGACAGACAACAGGCAAGAGAAAACAGCTCTGAGATGTAATGAGTATGATGACCAATTAACAGAAATGTGATGCTATGTTCCATGTTCACTAACACAATTTCCTGCTGTTAAACAGGTTATTGATTTGCTGTGGCAGCTTGTAAATTATTTCTGGCAGGGCAGCCAAGTTCTCAAATGCCAGCTACGTTTGCATTATCAGTGACTGATAAAAGTTGGACTTTTAAAACATCAGACACAGGACATCACATGCATCGGCAGGTAAGGCATTTCTCCTCCATCCAAGTGCTTGCAGGTTGGTGACCCTGCCTGGTGTTCATTTGCATACATGTGAATCATTTATGCTTTGCCCTCTAAGTCTGTGTTAGTGCATCATGAGTATTATATATCTGCTTGGTTTGCTCCAGTGTTCCACCCAGAAAATAGCCAGAAGCATTCGAAGAAGAGACACACAATTAGTTATGTAAGAGGTGCATGAACTTACATGTTGGTTTTATAGGATAATGGGGTTGCAGGCTCAAGGTAAAGGTCCTGGCAGTTCTATGAGATCTGAAATAATTTCATTGGGTCTAATTGGAGGCTGCTGTGTCACAGCCTTTGGGAGGTATGAAGATGGGTGGGGAAAAGAGGCATTTTCATTGACAAGGGATGTCCAACTACTCATGAAGTGGAGGCCTTGTTTTTTCCACTTACCGCAAGGTCCATTGTCCCAAACTGCAGCATGCCAACAGCAAATGTGTTTAGTGGATATGTATTTTGTAGCTAACGAGAAACATTAACATTTTTTTTTCCATGCCTAGTTGCTTAACAGATGATACTTTAAGGAGACACGACATTTTATGTGTGCTTTTACAGTGTGAAAACAAATCAAACCATGAACTCCTGAGGTCATGAAATTCTGGAGGACAATTGACAGCTTTACCATGCACTTGACTGCTCTTCATTTAGAATACAAACATGGCTGAGTCTAGCATGGATGGTTGAAGTAGAGGGAGTGGGGTGGGAGACATGCAAAGAACATGCTGGGCAGCTTTGTAAAAGGGGACTGTTTCAAGAATTCTTTAAAACAATCACATCAGTAACAAAATTTCACTGAATGTGGTAAACCACATTTTCTAGGTGGCAGATTACCTTATGAAAAAAAAACTAATGTAAAACACTTATATTTCTATATTCTCATACTACTCTATGAAAGTCACTAATGGTTGAAAAAAAAACCCATATCCCTGGAGGGCTAAAAATGTCACCCCCTCCTTATATAAGATGCTAACAAATCCTGGTTAACAAAATCCTGCAATTCAGCTGACCCTCAACTCATTTTTTTATCTAGGAAAAAAGAAGCAAGTGTTCAGGTTTATTGTTCTCCAGTTCAAATCACCTTTTAATCTCTGGGCATTTGCTTAATCACTTATATTTATGACTAGTTTACATTGGCTAAGGTGTCTTCACCAAGATTAATGAATGGCTCCAATGATATATAACTATCATTACATATGTTCTCTCTTTACTTAATTTAATTCCATTAACTTTTCCAGGTTTATAGATGGCAATTATTATTGAAACTTGGCTTTAAATGAAGTAAAGTGATTTTTCTCAGGCTTTGTAGATTTGTCTCTTTCTAGTACTTATTAAATGAATGGAAGAGGAAGCAAGGAGAAATGGAGAGGCAGCCTTGATGCCAGGAAGACTTGGGTTCAAAAATTTTATCTGTGACACAAACTAGTTGTGTGACTGCGCAAATCACTTAACCTCTCAGTGCTTAGGCAACTCTCTGTAAGTGGCAGAGAAGGTGCTAACTTGCATTGGTAGAGAGAGTTTCTTTACTAGCATGTTTCCTATGCAAATGAGAGCACATAGTCAGTCCCTATCTTTGTCCCTTTCTAGACCTGTCCTTTTCTTATACTAACTAAATGAGTGGGAAACTGATAGAAAGTGGCAAATCAAGAATAATATGAATGTTATTTGTTCTGTTTCTTATTTCGGCTGCTGCAATATAAAAATAAACAGTGGAAATTATTGGTTTCCTTCAATCATCTGAGGTTTTCATAAGACAAGAAATGACTACTTTAAAAATGAGCCATTGTGAGAACAGGGTTCAATGTTAACTATAAAATGGAGAGAAAAATGGGTCATATTTCAGTGGAATATTATTTCATTTGCTGAATCCTGGCAACCAAATGGAGTAATGATGAGGGTGATGGATATGTCTCTATGTACTCAGCTTTTTGACCTTTTTTTGTACTCTCAACAGCTATTTACTAAGGTCCAACGTGAACACAAATTCCATATTCTTCAAGAAATTATCTAGAAACAAATTCAACATTATTGAAACTGTTAAGAGTACTAACTTTCAAAAGACCCGTTATTTCTTTTTCTTTTCCATAAATGTATATTAAAGTTTAGTAAAGGAGTAAAATTCCAATCTCCTAACACATAAAACTTTCCTTTAGAGCAGGGGTCCTTAAATTGGTATGTAAACTTGGTTTATTATTATTATTATTTTTTAACATTTTGATATCTGTATTTCAGGATAATTGCTTTCCTTTGTAATCCTGAGTATTTTATGTATTAAAAACATTATTCAGAGAAGGAGTCCACTTACCAGACTATCAAAAGGGGACCTAACACAAAAAGATTAAGCACCCTTGTTTTAGAGGCACACATCTGGCACTGTGCCCACTTATTACTTTTATTAGTCTATCTACTTCTTTTCCTCACTGGAAATTAATAGAACTTCTTGATTAGGCAGCTATTATACTAATTAGGGAGCTATTATTGAAAAGTACACTGATTAAGATTCAGCCTTTATACTGGTTAAGAAATTTACCCTTTTCTTATTTCTTAATCTGTGATAAAAATGATTAAGAGTTTTTCTTCCCTTCCCCCTCCCCCCCACCCCAGGAATATTTATATACCAGTTTTTTGAGGTAGAAATTTCTGAATTATCCCTAAGAAACCAATAAGCTAAAATTTTACTTTGGGGGAAGGGAATCAAGAAGGCACCAGAATCCACCTGAATCAAAGCTCTGTTCTGACTAAACATGTACCCTCACACCTCCAAGCCTACTCTAAGGGGATCCTCTCCTCAATTGCAACCAGAAGTAAGTATAGGGTATTGATACAGCCCAGCATGCAATATACTCCAAAGTTTTCCTACAAGGGAATGTGGCTGCAGCATCATAATACTGCCATCACTATTCCAGTAAGTCATCTGGGCTTACAATGAAGTAGTTAGATGAATATGCAATGACTAGTTGAGCCTTTCATGTGATTAAGTATCTTCAAGTTCCCGCCTTAGATACAAGTGAGTTGAACTCAGCTGACTTACATCCAGTGCAGCTGGAACAATTTCCCAACTAGATGGATGTGCCAGAGATTGAGAGATAACACTATGATGGCCATCACTCAATTGCCACTGTAATAGATATATCATGACAGGCAACAGGCAACAAGGAAAATTACAAGCAGGTTGAAAACCCCCAATCAAGAGAGAGTCCCTAGAAGTCAGAATCTGTGAAGCTCCAATGAGGGAGAGGGAGTGTAAACTAATCATGCACCTGATGTTAGTTGGCATTCTCAAAGATCATGTCAATAGACAGGATGCTGGATACCTATGTTTCCGAGAGGTGTACATCTTGAAGAGCTTCTGTTTATTACTACAGAGCTTACTAGGAGTGAGGGGAAATAGAGGATCACATTACTCAGCATTTCACTACTAGGAAAGGGCTTAGGTTTTTTTTTTCTACAAATCAAGCCAAATCAGGTTCCTGCTTCATTCATTTGTAATTCTTCTGTGAATGCAGAGACCATAGAAGCGACAAGCAATACTTTTTCAGTTCTGTTACATGAAAGGAATGCAAAGGCCATTTCCAATTAGATTGGGGGCAGGGAGGTGAAAGAGATGTGAGAGAATCAATACCACAACAAAATTCAGAAGGTGCACACATCAACTTCCATTTAAAATGAAAATGATCGCGTATATCATCATTTACTGTGGAGCTATCCTTATTGGTAATAAATATTAATTTAGTACTTTTATTAGCATATATGAATTGAGAATAAATTCAATCTTTCAGAGTGCTCCAGCAAACATTTATAGAAACATTTACTGAAGATCACAGTAATTACTCAAAAATTAGTGGCCTGAATTTGTAAAAAAGTGGACTCATGTAGTTTCTCTGTTTACAGACGGCATCTAGATGCAACCAGTTGTGATTAGGATACATCTTTTTGATTCTTTTGTGTAGGAGTGTGTATGTTAAAAATGACCAGACAATGGAAAAGGAAAAAAAGATCCATACTTATTATTTTTGCAGAAGTAATAGTCTCTTACAGTATTATAATGCAATATGTGCATGTAAAAAGAATCGAATTCTCTTCCTGATCAGAAGAAGAGAACTGGAAGCAAAAATGATGCTCTTGAAACAAATGAACATTTTGCCAATAAAGACACATTTTGACTAAATACGCAGAAAAAATAGAGACAGTTCTTATTTAGTCAGGATTCACATCACATGCAAATCATTCAAAACAACAGTTAGAAGAATAGAAAGTGGTGAGTAGAACATATGAATAGGAGAAATCTGAGGTAGCAGACATTTGGCAATTTTTGAAAATGTCTCAAGACAACAGACCCCTCCCCCCCACACTAAGAGCAATACACAACTACCAAAAATATCATGCTTCAGAAAAGGCACTTAAACATATCACAACACACGATTTCACTAAAATATAGAATATCATTTCTGTTTTAATTTAAAAAAATTTTTTATGATCATTCTCATGAATGCAGGTTAAATCAGCTGATACACTGTTGCTGAAAGGTTCAAAAGACTTCTGTTCACCCCTTGAAAACTTCACTGTGAAGCTTAACACAAAATTAAAGCATTTAGCCACCTCTTGATTATTGTTGATAAAGGAGGACAGGGGGAGCTGGGACACTGAAATCTATAGCTAATCTGAAAACCTGAGTTTAATTAATAAGAATACATATGACCTTGTTTCTCAGCTAGTGAAAACAAGTTGGTAGCAAGTAGCAAAACTTACTATTCTGATTTCATGTTCTCTCTCTACTCCACTTGCTGGAGGGGGCAACAATTGGGGAACAGGGACAAAAGATAGATTATGTGAGGGAGGAACTGAAGCAGAGGTATTAAATATCAGGATAATTAGGTAACCAACCTCTGAATAATCAAGAGTTGGCTGAATAGAAGTCGTGGTTTATTCAAATACAAGTATAATTCATGGCAAACAGCTGTCTTTATGAATGTCCATATATGGCAAAATTGGAACATTTTCTTATCTCTGAGTAATTCCATTTAAAAGTATTGACATGAACAACATTCTCCACTTATGTGACAATAAGTGGGCTACCTGGGGGAGGTGAGCAGGGAGACACATGAAGTGACTGGGAAAACAAATGGTTGAGTGAGTAATGCTAAAGTTTTCTTTATGCTATAGGTAGGTAGAGCAGGCTCAGGGGAGTATAGTAGGAAGTGAGTCATTATAGGTCATGTAACCAAAAATATGACAGGGCAGCAGATAGATATCCTGTGTTCACCCTAGCTCAGTTGATCTGTGCTGTCAAGGCTGTTTTCTTACCAGAATTAATGTGATCTTCCTCTTTAGTTGGGAGCTCTGTTGTAAATATTCAAAATAATTTTTATCTACATATTTTGTTTTTACATTGATTAAAATTTCCCCTGTATCCTTCATAATTGTATAGAATTATCACCATATTGGTCTTCTCCTGTACCATTCCCCCTTACCTAATAGATACCTAATATGAACTTTGTTTAAACATTGCCTTAATAATGAATGATATGGAGAAAATATTTTCTTACTGCTACTAAGCATATAATAAAATATAAAATGTACCTCACCTTTACCCATGTCATAGCCCTTTGGTGTTTACAAATAGGCATGCTTATCTGAGTGAAGATGGACTTCTAAACCCATCCAGAAATGACTGAAATGCTAGTCCTCTTTGAAAAAAGCCTCTGAGGCCTCGAATATGAATTTGGCCTGTACTTGCAATAGATAATCACAATAAACTAAACAATAAAACTATTAAAAGGCATGTGGGAGACATTCAAGCTGTGAGAACTTGGCTTTGATGAGCTATAAAGACAGGGAAAGATGACATAATGAATTTTTGTCTAAAGTCAGAGCCAATATTCCTAAAGGTTTTGTATTGGCCTAAATGTTGAATCACTTTTAAATGGGGCCAGTTTGCTCATTTGCAGACCCTATATTCTTAAAGCCTAGATTATCAATCTATCCAGTGAAAATTCCCATGAAATCTTATCCTTCTCTACTCGGCTTAGGGATCAGTGTGTCATATATCTCAAGATGATAATTTTCACCTGTCTTCCTTGAGTTTCATTTTCCTCCTCTATAAAGTGGGGACACCTAAAAGACCCACCTTCCATGTTTGCTACAAGGTTCAAACATGGTAATATATATAAAGGGTTTTGTAAACTTAAAAGGATATACATAAACATCAGTTATTATTAAAAAGGCATTTCCTAGCCAGGTGGAGGGAGTTATCTACATGATATATCCTTATTTATGTACCTGTGCATCATTATTCTATTTTGAGGGAACCAAGACTGACTATGTATATTTTAGGGATAGGATTAGTGAATGGATGCATCAAAACAGGAGTATATCTCTGAAATTTGTGAGTGGGATAAAAAAATGACTATTTCTAAAAGTATTGCCCATTAAGGTGTCTTTCTCTACTAGGAAATGAAAATGTCACTAATGTAAAATAAGCTGTGGCTTAATTAAAATGTCATAACAGAAGGGTGGTGGTCAACATGGAATCTAAAAAAAAGAGAATCAGAATCATCATTTTTTTCAGTGTTTCTGGAAAAAAAATGTCCAAGGGAGAAGTTGTTCTGATTTTAATGACCAGCTCTAGTTATTTGGATAAAAATATCCCTTGAGTGGAAAAAAGGGAATTATTTAAGTTACCTTGGCTTGATGGAAATATCCTTTATGGATATCTGTCTTTTGTCTGATTCTATGACAAACAATCTTTTGATTTGGTCTCTTGAACTGAACCATTACCCTGAAAGGGAATCCCTTGGGCAAACAGCCAGTAATGGTTATTTTTGTCTTTTAGCTATATCTTCCATTGTAAACCAGTTAATTGACATTCTGAATTATTAGGCAAGTCTCTAGTGGGTTTGTATGGCATGAGCAGATGCTTCCCTGCCCACTCCCTAAATTCCTCTCCTGAATGAAAAGGAAAAATCAGGTTTCTGAATATAAAAAGCTAAGGACCAGCTGGGAGCATGTGGTTCCCCCATCGAGGTAAGCCCATGTTGTGTGACTCTGCCTGGCTTTAAAAGCTCCTGGCCCAGGACTAACTGTGGTCAAATTATGAAGCAGAACAAGTTTGTTTTCAGGAATCTTCATCTCCTTCCAGGCACCCCACATTCTTATGTTGTGTTTACCACCCTCGATGAAGTGCCTCCTCAAGCTTATTCCTTCCTAGTTACTAAATGTCCTGTACTCCACAATATTCTTGAGTCTCTCCCCTCTACCAGACCTTATCTGTCCCCATCTCCCTTTGCCACAGGGTTTATGAATGCATGAATGAAAAAAAAAAACTAATTTGTTAAGCATTTGATCAATTCAAAATAGTATGAAGCTCTCTGTTAGCTAATCTGATAAATTAATCTAAGCTAAGATGTTAATGGCTGATAATGAGATAATTTCTTACCTTTTTCATAGCATAACTGCATTTAAAAGAGCCTCTTGGAGCCGGGGCCTTAACTCAAAGGAATGATTCCTGTAGGTGAGCCCCTCAAATGATTCCCTTAGGTAGCTACCTGTTTTGCCCACTTGTTAAGCTCTTCATGCTCATGGCTCTTGAAAACAAGTATTTGCCTTTACTCTCTAGATTACTATATTTGAGTGCTTCAGCATGATTGTTGCCTGGCAGTGGGGCAGTAAGGAGTTACCAACAACTTTTACTCTTCGCCCCCTACCTCCCCAGAATAGTCTTTGCTCAATGGAGTGTATAAGGCAGGAGTTGAGTGATCAATGAAACATTTTCAGACAATCTTAGGAAAGGTCACTTTTAATCATTTTGTATTTGTTGATCGATTTTACCCAGAAGAAACCCATTTAAAACATCCACTAGACACCTGGCTTATAAACAAACATGTAACAAAAGAGAAATCACAAACCTGCTGGATGCTTCCCCTTGGTCTTTCCTTCAGGTGTGGGTGCAGATGGAAGAGAAACAATGATGATATCAGTAAATAATGTCTTTAAATGATTTTACATTTGATACATGTTAAGTTGGGAATTGGAAAAAAAATAAACATTTAAAATAAATCTTTTATGGAAGAAATATTTAAGCAAGTTTCATAAATGTAATATCCCTGAAAATAATGACAATGGCAACTTTAAAATACACATACATACACATATACACACATACTTTGAGCTGCAGACTGTCAGCCAAACATTTATTTAACAACTACATTGTGTGCAATATACAGCAAAAATTATAGACCTCTCATTAAGCAAAATAAGCTGTAATAAGAAACATGGGTTTGATTCAGATGGAATAAGCAAAGACATTTGAAAGGATGCTAATGCCACAGATGCAGTCTGATTTATTTTAGTTCAGCTGTCCTATTCTTTATCTGGACTCATTAATGTGTGAATGTGCCTCTGTAGCAGAGTCTCTGACTGAACCAGCTTTTCTCATCGTGTAAACCATTTGCCAGGAATAAATTAGGTGCTTTGGAAATCTACAGGAATTCTCCTAGGCTATGATTGAGTAGTATTTGAATATTTCCCAGTAGTAAGTTTAGTTATAGAAAAATGCAATGGGAAATTACCACATTAGTGGTACCAGAAGGTGTCCTGGTCATCTCCAAGAGTTAATGCAGTTTCTTAAAAGCATTGACTTATTTCAGACAGTAACCTTTTCACTTGCATTTTACTTCTATCTGAATATTCTTCCCCACTTGTTTTAAGAAGGGCCAAGAAAAACATTTTGTCTGCAAATTCTTCCCTTCATACCTACCCCCAGCCTCAACACTCTTTGAAATGGCAATTGTTGCTGCCAGCAGAGGCTTTTGTAAGAGGAAACAGCAAAGCATTAAATTGAAGAACTGGCATATCCATGGGTTTTGGAAGGGGCATTACTCACTGCTCTACTCCTACCAGTTGCCTCTCTGCCTCTTCCATCTTTATCTCTTTCTTCATTCTACTTTCCCTGTGTGTCTATAAACACCCCACTGTTCCTGCAAACCAATGTGGAGTATTAGCAGTGAGCTAGAACTGCCTGATTCGTCTCTTAAGGTATTATGTTCCCAATTAGAAACTCGAAAGGAAAGGAAATTCTAAGTATAAATACTTCTTTCAACTACTTTTGAATCATATCTGTTTGAAATATAAAGTTGTATTAAATCAGTCTTTTTAAGAAATAAAGACTTGTCAAAACATGGTGTAGTAGATAGGTCAGTAGATTTGGAGTCAGGAAGGCCTGGTTCAAACCCTGCCTCAGACACTGGTTTTGTGACTTTGGGCAAGCCATTTAACTTCTCTGGGCCTCAATTTCTTCATTTGTAAAATGAGGGGATTGGACTTGATAGCTACTAGGCTTCCTTTCAGTGAAATCTCTGATTCTACAAAAAGTCCTAGGAAACTGAAAGTCCAATTAATTGTGCCACTGACTGCTGTGTAAAAACTCACTTATTTAGTAAATGAAAGTGAGACTGTCAGTAGTTAATAAAAGCTACAGGAGGTGGCAGATCATTATTTAGGTATTTATGTAATTCTTCCTACTCTCCCCCAACCCTGTTTAGAGAGAAAACATAGGAGGTGAGGCAGAAGAAGGAGATTATTCAAGTAAAATGACAATACACACACTAGGAGAATCTGACATGATATTCCCTGTTTATAAAAAATCAGTTTTTCCACATTCCAAAATGATTTTTCTAAAACTGCTTGGGGGATGCTGAATAATCTCATGTGATAATAAACTACTTTATTTTTATCACTTTAAAATTCAGTTTTTGGCTTTCCTTCTACCCTTCTCTGTTTAAATTCATGTACCAAACACTTGTTTGCATAAGTTCCCTCAAGAGGATTAGAAATACAAAATGCTTCCAAATTCTACTTATTTTTTCCTCTTCCAAGATTCATACCCTAAGGAATCACTGGCAATTTGTTATGTTCTTTTTCATAAAATGTCACAGCTTCTTATAACTGCAATGGTCTGAAACCTTTCCCTGAGGCTCAGTCCTCAATAAAGTGAACCCATATGGTTTATATGCTTTATACAAGAAGAAAGTATTAATTCAACATGTATCCATCAATTATCTCTAAGGTCTTATCTAGCTCTAAAGTTCAGTGTCTATGCATAGAACTGTCCTCGGTGCTGATGTTGTTCTAAACAGTGACATACAGAATCACAGAATTTCAGAGATATTAAGAGTCATAGGATAATAGCTTTAGTGCTGTTAGGGACCTTAGAGGTCATTATAGATGAGGAAGCTGAGGCCCACAGAAATTGTGACTTGTCCAAGGTCACAGTAGCAGAGCCAGGTTTAAATTCAGGTCCTCTGATTCTAAGTTCAACACTCTTTTCACAGTACCATGAAGCCTCATTTTCAGAATCATCTAGGACAATTTCCATATTTTGTAGATGAAAACCTTGGGCCCAGAGAGAAGAAGCAGGTTGCCTAAACTTACAAAGCTGGTTAGCAGACAGAATTAGAATCAATGTCTCCTCACTATCATTTGGGGGAAGTGAGGCTCTTTCTGGAATCAGCACAAACAGGGAAATTTTCCTGTTCAAGAACAGAACCCTGGCTATTGTAGTAAGGGCATTAAATCAATTCTACTTGACCATCAAGTTCAGAGTCAGGGTTAGTCTGGGGTTAGAAGAGAAGGTGTTTTTAATGTCCTAAATGGGAGAAGCAATGTTTAAACTTTTAGAAAACAGACTCAATCCATTTCAACCAAACCAGATAAGACTCCAATTCAAGAAACATTTATTGGTTGCCTACTCCATTAACTGCTTAAGTGATTTTAATTGGTGACTGGCTCAATTTAGCAATAGCTATTTGTCAAGGCTCTATACCTTGGAATAGGTACTATAATTTTTCATTGAGGTCTTTGGAAGATATCATCATATTACCTTAACATTTTTGATTGCTAATGATAGTACCGTAGTGAATTTTTTAATCTGATGGAGAAATTCTTTAGCTTCACTATATAATCAAGTTAAATCTATCCTCCTTGCTTTTCTGCTTCAACAATTATGTTAGTTTGACCTCAAAGTGAAAGTTCAAGAATGTGGAGTTTCTTGAAATAATGATATCCAGATGATACTTCTTCTTAATGGAACTGGCAGATTTAAATGGGCAAAGTTAAGTCACTTGTCTTTTGAGAGGGATTAAGAATCAATATATAGAATATAAAGCTGAGGGTTTTTTTTTTATTCTTCTAGTTGTCTTCAGGTTGTTGCTGTTATTGTGGGATGGAGGCACTTAAGGAATAGGATGAATAATAGAAATAGTGTTCTGTGCATATGTATATATCTGAGTGTATATACCTATGTAGATTTAATTTCTGATTATTCTGATATTCTGATGATATTCTCTGCACAGTTTTTGTTTTAAATCATTAAAATTCATGGAAGTAATTTATCACTAAAAAGTTATTTGTGCACTATTCATGCCAACATACAAAGAATTAGCAAAACAAATGACAAACCTACTCATCCATCTGTGATTATTAACATCTTTGATGAATGTTAACAAAGAATTGGTATCATGGATGATTTCAATGGGTAAATCCTAGATTGTAAGACTCTGGGGATTGTCCTCCTAATCTATTTATTTAGCACCATTGGTAGATGGCAGTGAGTTTTATTGGGTACATTAAATCTGGAGTCCATGTTGCTACAAGCCAGATTTGAAATTCTCAAAGAGATACACAGAATGAGACAAGCCAAACATTAATGCTCATTTTGAAAAACAACAATAACAAAAAACCAAAAACCCAAAAACAAAAACAAAAAACAGGCTGGAACAGACATTGAGCACACCACTGACTCTCAGACTGGTACCTACTTGGTAGGACTGCAGGTATGTAAGGCCTTCAAATGAGGCTTCCAGGTAGCAATGGAAACTGATTTCTCATCAGCTGCATAACTACGCCATACACACTATGGGCCGGATACATGATAAAAAAAAAAAGAAGAAAAAAAAAGGAAAGAAAGAAAAAAAGGCAGAGGGAGCAGAGGACAGAACAAAAATGGAAAAACTGATTAGTAAAACAATACACATTAAGGGATTTTTGTCCTTATCATTCATAGTCCTGATACATGCCTGAGGGGTGGAAGAATACTTTTGTAATATTGTGAGGTGGCTGCTAGGCTTGTTTCTCTGCAGTCAGTCAGATAAATTCACCAAGCAGCCTGGTATCAGGAAAGAATAGAAAAGCACAAGAAAACCAACATAGTATGATATTAAATAAATTAAGAATTGATTATGGAAAAAAAATCGATTTGGCCTAAAGGCATGGCTTGTTGAACTAGCTCAGGAAACAATACCAGGAAAACTTAGAGGAAAAAGTCCTTGAAAACCAAAATATGATATAGGAAAAAACAGTCATCCTGAACTCTTTAATCAAAGATCAATTAGACAGCTGCAAATGGCTTTTAAATAGTTTCAAATCCAATTAGTAAGTAGACATGAGTAGTAAATGATTTCAATTTGTGAAATTTCCTGAGGTGGAACTTACACAATTATTTTGAGGCTAAAGATGAAGATAAATAGTGATAATACAAACCAAGACCAAAATTAGAGGAGGGGAGAAGATAAGATTCTATAAGGAGTACAATTTGGGAACATTGAAAAGCTGAAGCTCAGGACTGGTTGTTGGTTCTGTCTATACAATGACAGAGCTTGATGGAAAATTAAAAAAAAATTTAGTTCACCAGTCAAAATACATTTGTTGTGTAGACAAAGCATCCAAATGACAGGCTGAATTTTTCTCTTTTAATCTGGTGGCTGTGGCAAGAAATACAGTTACCTTTTCTAGAAAAATCACCCATTTGAGACTACCTTCTTAGGGACATTTAAGGAGCATTCTTGTTATGTACTTGACTTGTAAACAGTGTCATGACAAAATGTTTACTCAAACTTCTGGAGCAAAATATGTTGTAACCAACATGTCAAAATAATTTTACTTTAAATGACAAGTTCATTTAAACACATCAGGTCTCTACTTAGGCCCCTTTCACTCATGATTAGAAAAACCATAGGTAAACTATTTAAAGAACAACATTAGTGAGTGGGCTCGGTAACACATAGGAAAAATATTCTATAAATGATTATATAAAAATGCACAAATTATAGGTAATAAAATGAGTTAGATATCTTAATGGAAGGAGGTAAACTATTTTAGAAGGAGCATGACTTCATGGGGCATGACTTGTGTCGGAATGTGGCAACAGGAAAGATTTTATTCAAGTTGAACAGAAAGGGCACTGTCTATCAAAAAGACATCGTTATGTGAGGAAATTCAGGAATCAGAGTGGTAGATGGCAATGGGTTTTATTGGGTTCATTATATGAATGTATGTTGGTATGGTAGAGCTTTGTGGAAGCTATTTCAGGGCAATTCAGTGAAAGGAGAATTATTAGAGTGAGAGTTTACTACAGACTTTCTGATCAGAAAGCAGAAATACAGGATGAATTAGGAAGTAGATCACAAATCAGGCACGGAAGTCTAGGAGCATTTTTAGAGATGGAAGGTACCTTTGAGGTCACCTAGTCCAACACTCTTCATTTTATACTTGAGGAAACTTGAGTTCCAAAGATTAAATATCTTACCCAGGGTTACATAGGTAGTAAGTGCCAGAATTGGTATTTGAACCCTGGATCTTTGACTACAGATCCAGCACTCTTTCCACTATATCACGTTATTTCCCTAACAGCTGAGAGATTCTAAATCTGAATGGCACAATAGTAGTCTCCATATGGGAAGAGAGAGTGCCTGGGATGGAATTTCCATTAGCATATAAGCTCCTTGAGAGGAAAGATTGTTTCTTTCTTTGTATTTGTATTCCTGCTGCCTAGTAGAGTGCCTGGCACATAGTTGGTGCTTGATAGATGGGGTAGGGAAGAGGTGTGCACCTGAGTAGATCCAGAACAAAAGTGCTGAAGTGTATGTGAGTAGGTTTTTTTTTTTTTTTTTTTTTTTTTTTTTGGTGAGGCTATTGGGGTTAAGTGATATGCCCAGAGTTGCACAGCTAGGGAGTGTTATGTGTCTGAGGCCGGATTTAAACTCAGGTCCTCCTTACTGTAGGGATGGTGCTCTATCCACTGGGCCACTTAGCTGTCCCTGGGCATCTAGTTTACTTGAGACACTTCAGCATACTAAAAATGATATGATGATTAGTTTTGTGCTAAGCTTGAAATTTTTTTAGATATTAAATTGTTGTTGATCCTTTGTTTCATTTGTGTCTGACTTGTGACTCTACTTGGGGTTTTCTTGGCAAAGATACTGGAGTGGTTGCCTTTTCCTTCTCCAGTTCATTTTGCAGGTGAGGAAACTGAGGTAAATAGGGTTAAGTTACTCGGCCAGACACGGCCAGACTAGTTTACACAGCTATTAAGTGTCTGGGGCCAGATTTGAACTCAGGAAGAGGCAGCTTCCTGACTCCATGCCCAGCACTCTACCCACTGTGCCACCTGGTGGTCCAGATATTAAATTGCACTAGTACTATCTGCAATTTGATTTGGGGTAATCATGTGACAATTCATGGATTTTCTTTTTTGGCATGACTTTTTCTCTCTGTGGAAAAAACCCAACAGACCTTCCCACTGTGGTCATATTAGAAATGGTCACTTATTTAAAATCGTTTCCATAAATATCTATATTTGGATCCTGGTTCTTTGAAATCAAAGCTGGTGAGGACCTTCAGTTACAGTCCATATTCTCACTCATCGCTGAGCCTGTAACTCTGTCACCTTCCTCTGTCCCCAAAGATCCCAACACAATAAACCACCACAAAACAACAAAAAAGGACGGAGACGTCACCCACCAAGGCCATGAAGAACATTAGGCAGAGTGGGTCACACTTTAGAAAAACTGAACATTTTCCTTACCATGAAGCCTAGCTTCTGACCTCTTTTCTATCCAATCTATTCTTAACTGTCAATCACTGGCTTCTTCGGTCCTCTCTCCTAATAAAAAATGGTTTTATAGACAAACAATACAGAAAGGACTAAGTGGCACCTGTCTCAGGGCTGATGCTAGTTTTTAGTCTAAAGAAAAAGAAACGGATTTCACAAGAATAACCTTGTCTTTTCCTCATCTGCATTTGAGGGACTCTATCTCTGCCAGCTGAAACAGCAGAGAAATAATAGGTTACAAGTACACATTGGAAACTGAATTCAAATAGTTTCGATAGCAAATGATTAAGTGACTGATGTACTGACTATTCAGAACATCCACATTTTTTTTCAGTCATAGTCATGTTTTGGTAGAAGAAAGAAGTAATGGGGCAGCTAGGTGGCACAGTGGATAGAGCTCTGGTCTTGGAGTCAGGAGGACCTGAGTTCAAATCCGGCCTCAGACATATGACATTTATTAGCTGTGTGACCCTGGGCAAGTCACTTAACTTAAAAAGCCAAAAAAAAAAAAGGAAAAAAGAAAAAAAAGAAGAAACAAATAATATCTAGGGGAGATTCTAACACATATATGCCAAAGGCCAACTTTATGTGATGAACAATGAAAGGTAGAGTTGCTTGTTATTTGATAAATTTGGGGCTATATAGAAAACAATCTAATTCAAATCTCAATACACAATTATACATACAAGTCAGACATAACTTGGATTTTCTTATGGGAGAGGATATAAATTAAACTCTTAATGATCATTGTGTTCCATTGCATTGTAATTTTACTATATATATTACTTTACATAGTAACTGACCATATACATGGTTAATATGGGACTTTTGGAAGATTTTGTTTTTAAATACCAATTCAAAAACTTTGGAGTTTTTGATAGCACTTAAGAATTGGGCAGCTAGGTGGAGCAGTGGATAGAGCACTAGGCCTGGAGTCAGGAAGCCTCATCTTCCTGAGTGCAAATCTGGCCTTAGACACAACTGCTGTGTGACCCTAGGCAAGTCACTTGATCCTGTTTACCTCACTTTCCTCATCTGTAAAATGAGCTGGAGAAGGAGATGACAAACCACTCCACTGTCTTCACCAAGAATACCCAAAATAGGGTCACAAAGAGTTGGACATAACTGAAACGACTGATCAAAAATTTAAGAATTATAAGACTTTTGCAAACCTACAAACTTTTAGAAAGATATACCTTTTGTCATAAGTTATTTGCTTTTCCTTAAATGAAAAGTTTGTTTAAATGGATTATACAAAGATACTGGATTTACAGTGGCTTTTGTAACTATGGTGCTTTTGTATTTTTTCACTAAAGCACTGAAATACCAGTACTGTTGGTTGTTTCTTGGATGTGCACTGAATAATTCTCTTATTTGGATTACCCTCCAGAAAGACAATGGCTGTGATTTAAACCAAATAGGATTAAGTTTGGGCTTGTTCTTCTAAACACACTGCTGTCCAAGAAGGACTTAGCGGATAAGTAAATGAACAATATGTCAGCGAAGGAAACTCGTTTACCCATCTAGTACATGGTATAAATTATACAGATGTACAGTGTAAATGCTAGCTTTCGAGACCCAGTGCTGCCTAGGAGAAATAATGATAAACACATTCAAAAATTATCTTTCTATTTATACTGCAACTAATTCAGTTGACTGACTTTTAAAATGGACAGATTCTGACTTGGTTATTGGTCATTGAGAAATAAAACCTTTTTTGATGGCACAAATTTTTTCCAAATTTCACAAGTGTCCTATTTCCCATTAGAAAGTCAAGATCACTGAATACTTTTATATGTTAAAAATAATTAGAATCATCATTGGAAGGATAAACAGAAGGATAATTTACAAATATGATAATTTTACCTAAATTACCTGATGCCTAATTTGTAGCTGTTTTTTTTTTTTTCATACATATGGGGCTACTCCTATTCTCCCATGTGGATATATCACAATGTATTCTGGGTTTCCAAGACAGACCCCTCACCCTAAGTTGATTGAAAAACAAATAGTTCCCTATGGAGAGGGGCTCCTTCCTTTTTCATGGGCTCTCCTATGATGCAATGTACATACATCTACACCTCTACCAGTTTGCTTCAGTAATAGCTACTATCAAATGAAAACATTCATTTGGGATTCATTTTCCTTAAACAATTTAGGACTTGAGAGGAACGACTCCTGTCAAGTAAAAAAGAATGGCTTCCTTTATTCCCTTATCATAAGTGTGCCTTGTGACAGATATTCTGCAAAGGGTCTCATTTTCAAACACAGCTGCTGATGCTTTGGAGTGAAGCAAGATTAAAGGACAGTGGTAGTGAGGAGAATAATTCATTAATAATATTGAACACACCAAACAACCAATCAAAGCTCTCCTAAGGATTAAGGGATTTCTGGGCCCCAGAGCAACTTTTAGAAATTGAATGGAGTAAATAACTGTCCTTTTCATAAGTCCAGATGTTGTTTTGGCTTTCAGAGCTCAGAAGCAATTTCTTTCCCCCCTAGCTTAGAAAAGGGGAACTTATTTCCTCTACCCCACTCCCCAATTTTATTTTGAAAACTGGGAATTTAAAAATGAAGTCAAGTTTTACCTTCACTGGTAATTTAATTGAGTATTACATTTACCTCTGTTTTCCATGCCAACAGGCAACAGGGGAGAACTCAGATTAAAAAAAATCAAAAACGGAACAAAACCCATTCAATCATTAGATACAAGCTCTCTTTCCCTGAGCTAATAAAGAGAAGAAAAATGAATGGTTTCAAATTTTCCTTTCTCTCTCTTTCCTACTCAACCTCTGGCAAAGGTACCAATAAACATCAAAATGGCTAAGAAACTGACAGGAAGAGAAGCCAGACATCTAGAAAAAAATTCACATGTTGGACAATCAACTTCAGTATAATCAAAAGCTGACTGTGTATTATTGGGTCATGAGGGGAAAAAAGAATTTGACTGGGGAAAAAAAAATGTGTGTTAAATTCTCTACGAGGTCCAACAGCAGGCCGCATGCCAATAAACTATGGATGGCAAAGAAGGGGGAAAGCATTCCTTTGGCTGTTGAACACAAGTTCAGAGCCACTGAATAAGAAGAAATGCTGACTAAAAAGTCAATGCTTCTGTGAACTGGCTTCAGCTAAACATCATGCTTAATTTTTCACTTTCTCCAACACTGAATTCCTTCATATTGCTAACCAAAAATGGATGGTCAGCTTATAAATAGGCTATCTGTTTCAAGTTGCTGCACCAAATGATAGCAACAGTAATTCACCATAAAACTCCAACCTTTACGTTCTAAATAAATACGTGGTCACCTCAGATTCCTGCTATCCTGTTAGCTCAGGGAAAAAAAATTGGATAGAGCCATGTTCTGCTCCATCTCTTAATGATCAACTCTGTTTTTCTAAGTTATTCACAAAACAAATTAATTCATCCAGTAAGCCACCCAGTCACTGCCCTCTGCTTGGCCTTATTGGCAAGGCTATTCATCTGAATGATGCATGAATGAGGCATTGAAAACGTACATTTTCCTCCTCAGAAAAATGAACCCAATAAACCCAAATCCAAGATGTTTTCATGTTATTGTATATTTGGTTCAGGCTTCAGGTTCCTTTAAACAAAACAACAATTCTCCAAAACAATGAAGCACAAAGACTATAAAATGTACCCAACAAGTACTTAACAGAGACAGATCCTGCTACCTACCTATTACATTGAAATTTACCTGAATTAGGCTGGCAGCTGGATTCCTTCTTTTCTCAAAGTGTTTCTGGCGGTGCTGTTCCTGCACTTTTAATGCAAACCCTGAGCCAAGAATACCCTAGAATAAAATACAAAACACAGCCACTTTTGCATTTTTAAGGACATTATTAAAAAAAAGTGGATATCAGAAAATTCAAATCTGATTTTTTAATGATGAAATCCTATCCTTAAAGGTCTCACTTTCCACGGAGCCTTTCCTGATCCTTCTTCAGCCAGAGGTTTATTTTCCTACAAGGCAGGAGTGGGGAACATGTGGCCTGGAGGCCCTTTGACTGAATTGAGGACTTAGAGGGCCACATGTGGCCTCACGCCAGCATACCATCCCTGTCATTCATTCAATTTCACATTCTACTTTGGCATTGTATTTCTTTATATGGTTAATCTCATCCCCTAGATTGTAAACTCTAAGAGGGCAGAGACCAAGCTTCATGCTTCTTTGTATCTCCTTTAGTGCCTAGGATCATACTTTACATATCAGATCTGCCAATAGCTAGTGTTTATTGAATTGATTTGGATACAAAGCATGTTATTTGTTATGTACACTTTGCTAGTATGTTTACATTTTAATGTAATGTCAAAATATCAGTGCCACAGTATTAGAAAATATCTCTCAGAACCTTTTGCAGGATGCAAAATTAATAAACTAAAGAGGCATTGTCATTTGCTGGCTTCTCTCTGACTACTGGAAAGTCTCACATTCTGTAAAACCACAGGCTTCTCTTGGTTCTTGTTTACTCCATGCTGACATTTCTTGGTGACTCTTGGAGATGGGGGAAAAGTCTTATTAAATGATGAATACTGCTTCAGCAGAGTACTATTGTTTTAAGTTGTGAAGCTCCTGATGGTTTATATTAAGAGAACAATTAAAGTTTGCTTGCTGCTGATACACAAGTATTGCAGCTCTTTGCAAAACCTGTGTTAATTTTTAAATTGTCATCAGGTCATGTTGACAAAACAAAAATTATCTTGGTATTGAGGACAGATAAGGATTTTTAATGTCGGAATCAGTATCTCAATGGGCTGCTATTATAGACATAAACATATGAATTACCTGAAGAGGTGGGGGATTCTGATCATCTCACTCAGGTGTCTATTTTTTCTTTTTTCTTTTGTGTTTTTAAAACAAAAATGCTTTTGGTAGTGCCTTACATGCTGTAGGCACTTAAATGCCTTTTGAGATGAATGCTCAGCATTTCTTGCTCTTCTAATTCTGTTTAACTAATTTATTTGGGAGGATCACAAAACTGATCCCCTACTTTACAATGGATGAAATGAGCTATTTCGTTGTCCTGTGACACTTTCTGAGAAGCAGTGTTGCATAGTGGATAGTTTCAATCTTAAATCCAGAAGAACCTGGGCTCATTCAAGTCCTGCCTCTGACACTTACTGACTGTATGACCCTAGACATGTCATTTAACCTGGTAAAATTCTAGGCAGCTTACATTTTACCTTGCAGCAAGGGTGCCAACTTGCATTAGATGAAATAATTTCCTCATCAAGGAGTTTTTTAATGTCAATGAATCACAGGTCTAGGGCTATTGCTATCTCTATGATATTCTCATACTCAGTTCTTGTCTGTTTTCTCTACATTGGTTTTCTTATCTGGCTTCCCTGCTGCCTGGAACTTCTGAGAAAGGCCTTCAGCAGGGCCTGACTGCCGCTATTTCTATGTCTTTCAAATGTATTCCTAACCTACAGCTTTGTCCCTGTAGATATTTTGTTTATTTGGGGACCCAGATCTGTTTGTATTTCAGATCTTGCCTCTTCTTGATTAGGGTCTTTTAGGATCCTGGTCATCAGTGGAATACCACTAGATCTCTACAGTCTTGCTCTCACTTTTCTCACTGGCCACATGGGACAAGATAATTAAAATCACAGGAGACTATGGGGATAGTAGATTCCTCCAATAACATCTTTTGGATAGGTTTATTTTCTCTTTAAATATCAAACTTTGTGCATGTTATGGATATCAGTTAGCTCCTGGTTCCAGCATTATCTTAGCTCCCAGTCTTGCTAAGATTGCATTTCTGTGTTTTTTGTCAAGTTTCCTATTAACTCTGTCAAGTTAATGGTTATGAAATTCAAAGGTGTATTCCTTTTGATCCTATGCATTTTCCTTTTTGGGTATATAGTAATTAGGCTTATATTAACACAGAAAGAGTCTCTCATTTTATTAATATCTTACAGTTATGACAACAAACTTGCCAAAGAAAAGAATGAATATTTGGATTTTTGTTTTCTTTCTTTTTTCTTTTTCTTTTTGGCATCTGAAAGTATGTTACTGCCAATCACTGAACAATGAGTAATTCAGTTGCACTTTTGGAGCAGTGGACTATTACAGCATAATTTACTCTTAATAAGCAATTACTATCTCTTTGAGTTGGAATAGCTGAAATGTATATGTTGAAAATGGAAATTGTCACAGTCCTTGTTTTCTACTTCTTTTTAGTGGCTCTCTTTTTGGAATTTATTTACTCCATCCATTCAAGTTTAGTTGGATTCCAGCCAATACAATGATTTTGTTTATCCATTTAAGTCCTATCTCTTTATCTGTTTTTGGTTTTTATGATAGTAGCAGCGGATTCCTGAGTCAGAGTCAGATGATGGTCCACTATGATGCCTACTTTTCACTGTAAAGCCCAGTGCAAATGCACATAATGAAGGCTCCCATTTACATAGGGCTTTATGGTTTGTAACCACTTTTCTCATAATAACCATGTGAAGTAGGAAATACAAGTATTGTTATTCCCATTCTTTAGTAGGTGAGGAAACTAAGGCTAGGAATTTATGTGACCTACTCATGGTTGCACAACTTTTAAGTGGTAGAGATAGGATTTGAATTTGGGTCTTTTTACTCAATGTCTGATGTTTCCTCTGCTCCCCCTAAACACCACACTGTCTTTTAAGATGTCCATTAGATTGACCTTCCTTATAGTCACCTTTCTTTCATTTAATATGTGTTAATAAAAATAAGAGCTATATACCAAAATATGATAATAGAATTGCGATATTAAGTCTAGGAAGAAAACACTTTTTTAAATAAAAAAAGCAAAAGGATATCTATGCATACAAAAACGTGATCTTTCGATCTGACTTAGACATGGGCTTAAAACAAACAAACAAAAAAAAACCTTTCCAATATGGCACCTGTCATGGCTAAGTTTATTTCTGAACACTCAAAACTTTATGTCTTTTGTACTTGGAATTTTGGATTGAGACTGTGACCAATGGAAAAAGAAAAGAAACTCAGCATGGCACCTATCCAGCGAGTATCATATGAACATGTATTTGCTGGGCATTGGCTGAAAATCCTATTGACCTTATTCAAGAATAATGAATTAGGCTATGGTAGTGCTTGTTAAGTCTCTCTCTCATTAGACTATATAAATCATGCCAATTATTAAACCAGGCCTGTTCATTGTCTTATCCTGGCATTATTCCAGTTTTTTTTCCTGTCTTCTTGTTTTACTTAGTACAGAACCCTCAGATAGAAGCCTGTTAAAATAAGGACTATTATGGACTATTAATATTAATAACAATGGTAAAGAGAGATAGCATTTATATGGCGCTTGAAGATTTACAAAGTGCTTTAAATATATTATTTTATAAGATCCTCACAAAAACACTGTGAGGTAGGTGCTGTTATTATTCCTCATTTTACATGTGAAGATGCTGAGGCTGAGAGAGGTGAAATGAGTGTGACTGGCTCAGGATCATATTAAGTTTCCAAGGCAAGGTTTGAACTGAGGTCTTTCTGGTTCCGAGGGCCCTGCTCCATCCATCTCACCATGTGGCTACATATTGATTTAATGCAGTGTAACGTTTACAGCTAGTATATTATTGTCCCTCTCATGACCTTGATCCCCCTAGTTTATCAACCTTCCAAGTTTCATGGGCTTCTTGAATGAAACTGAAAGGAGTGGACTGGGACAGGCAATAGTGGGATTATATTTCATAGTTTTGCTTTATATTTTTGTACTTAAACAGTACGGATGCCAGAGTGTATAAGCACTCTGATGAACAGCATTCCTTCAATATTAAAGAGAGGGATATGTATAATTTTTGGGTAAACATTTAGCATGGATGTAGGCAGGCTGGTAAATGTTTCATAACCAGCTTGGGGAACAATGTATGCATAACATACTTTTAAGCGCATTATAAACAGCACAGTAGATAGACGGTTGGGCCTGAAGTCAGAAAGATCTGAGTTTAAATCCAACCTTAAACGCTTACTAGCTATGTGACCCTAGGCAAGTCACTTAATTTCTGTAAAATGAAAATTAGAATAGCACCATAGGGTTGTTATGAGGATAAAATGGGATAATATTTGTAAGGTGTTAAGCACAGTGCATGTCACATAATAACAAACATGTAATCTCTTCCTTCTCTTCTTCTTCTTCATTGTCGCCACCATCATCATCATCACTTTCTCAAATTTGCCAAGGACCTCAGGGTCAAATTTGCCCAGTTGCCTGTTTTTTTTTTTTTTTAATTTAAAAATGTAAAAACCATTCTTAACTCCTAGACTATACAAAAATAGGTAGTGGGGTTGTTCTAGACCCTGGTTCTAGACAATCAATAAGACAGTAAATCAAGCTTGGATTTGTAGTATTTGCCAATTTCCAAGGTGTAAATGCTCACAATGAAAATTTAGCAATTGACTGGCTCCGACATACCTGGGGATGTGGGGAAGATTCAACAATTTCCCATCCTGAACCTTATTCTTCTCTGTTTATTTCACAGTAAGAACTGGTTATTTTAAAGGGTACTCCATTTTATTGATGGATGTTGGGAGGGAAGAAGGAGTGGAGACATGAGAAATGGGGCAAAATATGCCCAGAAGGTTATGTAGGTAGTGATTTCTCCAGCTTAAGGGAAAGGAAAATCAGTAGTGAGAAGCCAAGAGATTCATTCTAAAATGTATTAAAAATGTCAACACATGCCTCCAATCTTCAGCAAAGCTTTACAACTCAAAGGATATGGAGGCCCTAGTGACATTTCTAGCTGTTTTGGTTTTCTAAAAAAGGTGCTTGATTACATCCTTTCATTTGTTTAATCATTTGATAAAAGTTTATTGAGCACTATGTTGTACATTTGTGCTGTTCATAGTAACACCTCCTTGCTCTTGAATTGTTGGGGAATAGAGAGTTACACACAAATGAATTTTCCATATAACTAAAGTTTAACTCATCAAATGCCAATTAAAAAGAAGTAAATAGAGGGGTAGAATGGCATTGTAAATAGAGGACTGGTCCTGAAGTCAGGAAGACCTGGGTTCAAGTTTTGACTGACATACACTATATGGCCCTTGGCAAGTAATTTAACCCCTCCATGGCCCAGTCTACTTTCAAAGGCTATCATTTAAAGATTAGTATTTCTTACACTTATGAAAATTTCAGGTCCAGAGCAAATAAAATAAATTAGTTATTTTGGATGAAACTTTTTCTCAAAGGTATTATATACTTGAAAGGTACCACATTCTTAAAAGACTTTCATCCCAAAATGTCACTTTATTTTGATTTTTTGGAACTGATGATGATCACCCTGAACATAATTTAATTATTTCTTGATTATGCAGTGTCTTTGTTAGGAAGTATTAAGTTATATAGGACTATTTGTTCCTACCCCAAAAGGTCCAGATTCCTGTGTTTTTTGATTTCTCACATTTATTTATTTTATTATTATTTTTTTTTGGGTGAGGCATTTGGGGTTAAGTGACTTGCCCAGGGTCACACAGCTAGTTAGTGTTATGTATCTGAGGCTGGATTTGAATTCAGGTCCTCTGGACTCCAGAGCCGGTACTCTATCCATGGTGCCACCTAGCTGCCCCTCTCACATTTATTTTTATAGGGGTTTTTTGGCCCCCTTCCTTCCTGTCAGATTTTTAGCTGTCATTTTCTGTTTTCAGTGTGTCTATCTTTAGTAACCTCTTTCCTCTTTTAATTTGCATCTTCTAATAGTCTATTGATGAAAATATCTGTGAATTATTAGAATAAAAGCAAATAGGCCCTGACTGAGGACCTAAAGACTTCTGTTATGAATAAGACACATATAAGGGTTTTATGACATCTATTTTGGTTGCTCAGAGGCCTTTTTTTCCACTTTCCTGATTTTTAGCCATGTTCCAGATAGTTAAGGACAGTGGATAGGTGACCTCAGAATTTTGACCTATACTTAGATTAGGTAATTAGGTATAGATGTGTCTCTACCTAGAGGAAGAACATATATTATGTTATTATGTTGTGCTATTATTGAGTTAGGAGCATCAAAAATATAAAATTTATATATTTATAATATGTTTAAGATAACTGACTTAAAAGAAAAGACAGTTCAAGATTATTTTAAAATTTATTTTCTGATTCTTGAGATATGCCAGAGTTGAGGCTGATGGGCAAAATGACCTCTGAATAAACGAAGTGAAACAATATATGTTATGGCTAAATAAATCAAATATTTAGCATGGTCTTTTGTCAGTCAAAAAGCATTTATTAAGCACTTACTGTGTTCCCAGAACTGTGCTGTGCACTGAGGATACAAAGCAAAGCAAAAACAGTCTCTGTACTCAAGGAGCTTACATTTGAATGGGGGAGACCACATTGTAAATAACTTAGTACACACAAGATATGTACAAAGTAAATGGAGAGTAATCTCAGAAGGGAAAGCACTGTCAGCTTGGAGGACCAGGAATGGCCTCCTACAGCGACTTGTGTTGAGACTTGAAGAAAGTCAGAGAAACCAGGAATTAGAGGGGAGGAGGAAGAATATTCCAAGAATGGGAGACAGTGCAAAGGCAAAGAGAAGGGAGTACAGATAGATTGTAGAGTGAATGGAGGGGAATAAGGCATAAGAAGATTAGAAAAGTGCTTAGGGACCATATTATGAGAGCTTTAAATGTCAAACAGAAGACTATTTCTGATCCTGGAGGTAATAGGGAGGCCACTAGGGTTTACTGAGTAGGCGGTGGTAACATGGTCAGAACTGCACTTGAGAAAAATCACTTGACAGCTGAGAGGAGAATGGGTTGGAGTAGGGGGAAACTTGAGACAAGAAGATCTGTTAGAAGGTAGAAGCAACAACATCTGACAATAGATTGGATATGTGTGATGAATGGAATTGAAACCTTCCTTCATATTTCAATTGATTTTGTACCTTTTTTATGAACTTAGCATGTATATTATGGTGATTTTTGTGAGTGCCATGACTTGCTGCTGCTGCTACTACTATTGCTGCTGCTACCACCACCGCTACTACTACTACTACTACTACTACTACTACTACTACTACTACTACTACCACCACCACCATCACTACTGTGACTGCACTATTAAACCGCTACTATAGTGCTGCTGGCATATACATAGCACTTTAAGGTTTTCAAAGTGCTTTACAAATGTCATCTCATATTATCCTCACAATTCTGAGATGTAGGTGGTATTATTCCCATTTTATAGATGAGGGAACTGAGATAGCAGAGGTTAAGTGACTTACCCAGGGACATAACTAATAAATGTCTGGAGCTGGACTGGAAATTAGGTCTTCCTGGCTCCAAGTCTGTCAGGTCCAGTGCTCTAACCACTGAGTCACCTAGCTCAGATCCTAGACTTTGATCTTCACTAGGGAGCAATTCACCTCTTCTTCTGTTACCCCCCTCCCCAAATGCATGGTACAATATTCTGACCAAGTAAGAACTTAACAAAATACTTATGTAATGCAATAGTCTTCACATTAACCTTCTACTTTGAAATAGGAAATATTGGGTTTTTTTCCAGACCCAGAAGAAAAGACCCCCTTTGTTTTTCACATTCTACCTTTTGCTCATGATTATGCAAAGTGTAAGACAGAAATTAATGGCTGTTCCATAGTGATATTTGGGCTGTGTCATTGTGACCAGGCTCCTTTCACAAACACTATTGGGACAAAAGGAAAGCCCTGGGTAGGAGCAAAATGATATATTTTGCTTCCTCAAAACCTTTCCGCCCCCTAGCCACTCTCCATCTCAATTTTTGTGCTGTGCTGTGAAGTGGGACCTCTGAGCAATCTGGGATTGGTACCATTACATCTGAGTGTGGACAGAAGGGACACTTTTCTTCACATGAGCCCTCACTGATGATGCTCAATGATGTTCACTCAGTGTTGCCAGCTTATCCCTCTCTATGCTGATTGGAAGAGGGAAGGAAGTGCCAGGAGAGAGGGAAGGGGAAAGGAAGAAATGAATGCGGAGTAGGGCAAAAAGAGGCATGGTTTTACTAAGTATCTTTAGGTAACCAGAGAGCAGAATGATGATCACTGTTTTAGCCTGTGTAAGAGAGCTAAACAGAAATGTATGAAAGAAACAGAAAATGTATATGCTTGTCTGCCTGCTGACAAAACACAGAGGCTATGCATTAAGAAAATTGATGGCTATGACATGAAGAAAATGTCTGATACTTTAAACACTTAAAAGTCATACTGTTTTAGTGCCTATGAATCTAGAGACATAAATATCCAATGTATGCAAACTCAACTGTAGCAGGGAAGCTAAAATCATAGATCAAACTTAAGCTAGTATGTTTCACATGGAGCAAATAACTTTTAATATCTGTATTGATTTAAAATTTGTGAAGGATATGAATAATTGATATTAGACTATATCTGAATGACTGTTTGCTCATAGACAAACAACTAGATAGTACGAAAAACACTGGTTAATAACAAAGTAACCCTAACTAGACCGTTAGTGCCATTTAATCTCCGTATCTTCTCTAACATTCTGTGCAGTGATTCCTATTCAGTAGGCACTTAAAAATATGTGTGAAATAATTCTAAGCCATTCACATCAAGGTCCAGGATATCTATCTACCTACCTACCTACCTATTTTTAAAAATTTTATTTTGAATTTATGGAATAAAACAAGCATTTCCATAACATAGTACAATAAAAAAGATGATTGCATGTGAAACTGCAAATCTACTATACACAACTGGCTACCTCTTTCAAATATACAACAAAATTATCATGTAAATTTCTTTTTTCTCTCCCTCTCCCCATCTGGCTACCATTAGATAGGTATATGTAATTATTATATGTTATAGTAATGTAATATAATATATATTTATTATATAATTACATGTGTACATATGTAATATATATATATGTAAAATTATTCTTTTCATACTTCTATTTATCAGTTCTTTCTCTGGATGCAGATAGCTTCTTTCTTCATATGTCCTTTATAGTTAATTTGGGTATTTATAATAGACAAAATAACTTATTCACTCAAACTCATTCTTAAAAAATATTGCTATTACTGTACACAATGTTCTCTTGGTTCTGCTCATTTCACTTCATTATTTTGTGTAAGTCTTTCCATGTTTTTCTAAAATCATTGAGCTCATCATTTCTTATAGCACAGTAGTATTCCATCACAAAAAAGTATGCCAAAGAAATATTCCTTTTGGCAAGTAATTTGGATAAATAGATTAAACTATGGAAAGATCAACATAACATTTCCTTAAAGGCTAGTTTTGTCTGCTTGATTTTTGCAAAGATACTCACAGCGGGTAGCGCAAAGAAAGAAATGCCAAGGAGAGCAAACCCTGCAGAAAGCAATCTTCCGAGCCAAGTTAGAGGAGTTTTATCTCCGTAGCCAATCGTTGTCAATGTGATCTAAAAACAAAACAAGCAGAACGTGCAACTTAAGTATGTATGAGGAAATTTAGGAACTGTGTTTGGGAGGCAAAGTTACTTTTCTACTAAATCATTTTCTGATGTGTCTGGTTGGCCCCCTTGATTATAGGGTTTTAATTTTCTGTGACATACGACAGAATGCCTCTTTGAGAAAAGGAATAATGCACATACTTGCCCTTCTCCTAAATGTAATTTTTTGATCTTAGAAAATATCTTTAAAAAAAGAATATTTAAGTGAACAAACATTCATCCATGCCACTGCAAGACTGTCATAGATAGGTGGGTTCAGAGTGAGAAAGGTCTATAACACAGTCATTGAGTTAAGCCTAGAAATTCCTTATAAATATCAGAGCTAATTTTCAGGTTCTATCCATTAGAAGCTTTAGAATTGATGTCTTTCTAATATGGAAATGTTTTACATGATTGCACTTGTCTAACCTATATCTGATTGCTTACTGTCTCAGGGGAGAAGGGAGGAGAGAAAGGGAAGGATAGAATTTGGAATTTAAAACTAAAAAAAATGTTAAAATTGTTTTAACATGTAATTGGGGAAATTATATATATGTATATATAAAATTGATGTCTTTGAAAAAATGCACTAATCCATTACACTTTTCTGCAAAAGAGATTAATCTTTTTCTGTGGACTTCTGGAGCTCATTATAATAACCAGAGGGATATATTGCATGATCTGATCATGGCAAAAACATCAGATTTAATAGTTTGTCATTATATCTCATGTCTTAGCCTGGTTATCACAGAACAGACTTAAAAATACTGACTCTCATCTTGAAAAATCAATTATAAGAAATTATATATTCACAGCCATGCTCAGGGTATCCTATGTATTTTACCCACTCTGCTAAAGGGATTCAATTAATTGACAAGTATTTATTAGGCATTATCCACTAGGCATTGTGCTAAGCACTTGGGTTCCAAAGAGAGAAGTGAAGCTATCTTTATTCTCAAAGAGCATATATTCTATCAGGGACACAACACATATACACATATGTAGAATATCCCTGAAATAAAGATGAGGTAGTTTTTTGGAAGGAGTGCATGAGCAACTGGGGGAAGACTTCATGTGGTGCTTGAGTTGAATCTTGAGGAATACCAGGGTTCAAAGAGGCTGAGGTCAGGATAAAGAGTATTCTAGGTATTGGAGTTAGACAATCAGTATAAAGACACAAAGGGAGTTGCTGGAGCGTTGTATGTGCACAACAGTATCTAGGCTACGGCTAGACTGCCTCCCGTCTCCTAATTACTTCCTATTTATCCGGTATATATCTTGCTTTGTATAAATTTGTTTGCATGTTGTCTCCTCTATTAGATTGTAAGCGCCTTGAGAGCAGGGACTGTTTTTTGCCTCTTTTTGTATTCCCCAGAACTTAGCATAATGCCTGGTATATAGCAGGTATTTGATAAATGTTTGTTGATTGAATGAAGAGTATGTGGAGGGGAGTAATGTGTAAAAAGATGGGAAAGGTCAAAAGGGAGTACTGTTCGGTCTCCTCCATGTCAATTCAATTCTCTCTATAGTATATGAGAGTGGGATTTTTGTAAACTGAGAGAATGACAACCAGGATGCCCTTCTGTATGTTTACATATGAGAACTTCTCTTCTTCACCTTCTTTCTGTGCTTCAGTTGAGAGATTCTCTACCTTAATGCCTACCATGACCACAAGGTACTCAAAGAAGCTATATCCAGCCTCATAATGCTTGGATAAAGCAGCCTGAGAGTTCTCTTAAGTTAAATCCCATTTTTCCAGCATTCACTATCCTCTGCTCCTTTTTATTTTTTTAATTTTTTTTTAATTTTTAGGCAATTGGGGTTAAGTGACTTGCCCAGGGTCACACAGCTAGTAAATGTCAATTGGTATGAGGCAGAATTTGAACTCAGGTCCTCCTGACCTCAGGGCGGGTACTCTATCCTCTGCGCCACCTAGCTGCACCCCCCCCCTGCTACTTTTGAAGCAGCACAGGTAGGCTAGAAGACTGGTTTTTGTGGAGGACTTGGGCCTGGGGTCAAACTTGGGAAGAAAGGAGACTCTACAAGGGAAGGGTGAGTTTTCTTCTCCCTGCCTAGAAGAGCACATTGCTTGTGTCCTGCAGGGTGCAGTGAGAACTTGGTCCCATATCCAGTTGTCAGTGACAAGTCTTTTTACATTTATTTTTGGATATTTTGTTGATGACTTTGTACACATCATCATCATTTCCAAATGTATCTTGCCCCTAATGCACTCTCTGTAATATTGAAAATTCAGTTAAGAATGAAGAAATTTAAGAAAATTAATTTATGAAAAACCAACAGATAAGATGAGCATATAGGGTAATACATGCAACATTCTACTTCCATAGTCTCTCAGCTCTCAACCAAGAGGAGGGATATTGTTTATTTTCTGGGGCCAAGTTTGGTCACTGCATTTAATCTGAGTTTGGTGTTGATGCTCTTCTTACATGCTACTCCATGACTGGAATGCAATCCCTCCCCATATCCAGCTTTTAAATCCTCAGTTTCTTTTCAAGCTCATCTCACAACCATTGGCTTCTTTGTAAAGTGTTTCTTGATGTCCCCAGTTGCTAATCTCTCTCTTCCTAAGTTACCTTGTATAGTTATCCTTTCTACATTGTAGGAGTTAGGGGTATGGCACTCCACAACCTGGAAAATTTGCATGAAATTTTTGGTTCTCCTTTTGTACCAGAGAAGTCTGAATTATTATGGTGTTAAAAGGTAAAATATTAAAGATAAGATAAAAGATAAAAGATATACATATATTTTATGCATTTTTGAGTTTCTAAACTTTTTCTGTGTTGTCTGCTGGCCTTCATGTGTTATCTGTGGCTTCTACAAAACTCCCCCAAAATTTCCATTTAATTTCTTATGCTCACCCAAGATATATCAAAATGATGATGGGGAAAGTTGTGATGTGGAAGGGATAATTGTATTTATTTCATACATATTTCATATGTACTTATATGGGTATGTGTTGTTTTCACTGACAGAATGTAAACTCCCTGAGGACTAAGATTACTGTCATTTGTTTCTAGCACAGTGCTTAGCATGTAATAGGTACTAATAAATGCTTATTGATTGATTGATTAGTAAAAGCAGCAATTTCATTTTCTCTCACTGATGTTGACCATAGGTTAGGTTGTGAGTTTTCTCCTGCCAGGAATGCTTGGTATTCATGACAATTTGCATAGTGAAAGTTTTATTTCCAGGCATGTTCTAGATCAGATCAGGACCTAGGTTCCTCATAACTTAGCCCAATTGATTCATCCAACTTAGAGGTCAATCTGCCTTCTGCTGTATCTGTGATTTTCCCTGGTTTAAGCTACACATTTAAAAAATCTTTCCTTAGTAACTAAAAAGTGCTCAATATTTATCAGCTGATTCTTTGCACATTGGTTGAGGTACAGGAGGAAACTGTCTTTCTCTTCTCTCATCCTAAATGGACCAAAAATTTATTTCTATCTTCCTATAATCTTTCTGATCCTTGGCTTGCCAAACTCAATAAAATTTTGTTTTTTTGGAAGTGAGTATTGGCACAAAGTTATCTGGGAAGTTGTTGTAATGTCCCCCACACTTCTTTTCCTCTCCTCTGCTTTTTTTCATTCATGAAGCAATTAGATAGCAACATATCTATTGGGATCTATATCCAGAACAAGCCTATAACATAGCGTTGTACACGGAACCTGATTCCCACTTTGTACTTTATCGATATGCAGCCTGCTTTCAGAGAAAAACAAGGCACTGCAGACATGATCTTCATGACTCATTATCTTTGGGAGCATTTCAGCCCCATCATCTTCGGGAGCATTTGGGGCACACCTTTTATCTTTATTATAGACAGTCAACAGATGTGCTCTCTGGAAAATTCTTCATTAATCTGACCTTCCAGAAAAGGACGTTGACCTTGTAAGATAACTACAAGTTATAATGGCAGGTCAAGTCAGTATTGATTGCATCTTGTCATATTTGTGTTGCCATCATAAATGGTGCTAAATAAGGTTGTGCATTGGCTCCAGATCTATTGAACTGTAGGGAACAAGATGACATAAAACCTACCCCTCTATAGAGCTCCTGAGACTACTTTAGGTCTCCATTATGCTAGGAATACCTATGCAGGAGCCTCTCTTTTGCCAATGAATGGGCCCCAGAGACACTGAGCAAAGGCATCAGATAACTGATGCCTGATGTCTTTACGAAATCAGCACAGTGCTTATGATAAATGAGGCAACAATTGTTTTGTCTTTCATTTATGAAACCATGACTCACTGTGGAAAATCTTCAGTAGTACAGCTTACCTAAAATAAAAAAAAAAACAAAACACCAAACCTCACTGAATTAAATATGTTTTTTTCCAGAGAAGGAAGTTTATTAAGTACCTACTATATGCTAGGTGCTGTGCTAAACGCTTTGCAAACATGATTTCATTTGATTTTAACAATAACCCTGGGAGATAGGTGCTATTATTATCCCAATTTTGCAGTTAGGAAAACTGAGGCAGACAGAAGTTAAGTGACTTGCCCAGGGTCACAGACCTTGTAAGTAAGTGTCTGAAGCTGGATTTAAAGTCAAGTCTTCGCGACTCCAGGTCCAACTCTCTATGTATCTACTATAATACCTAGTTGCCTCTAAGAAAAGAGGATTAAACACTGATAAAGGAAACTTGGTGCATCCTTTGATAGACTTATAGCTATTATTCTCCCCTCCCACCCCCCACCCCCTACTGCTTTGTGTTCTGGGATAACACAGCAGGATGAGGGGAGGGAAGGGAAAAAAAAGGAAAAAGGAAAAGAAAAACGAATACAATAACTTTATTATGTATTTAAAAGGAAGAGTAAGTTGTACATAACATGTGCAGTTTCATGTGCAATCATCTTTTCAAAAATTATGCTATGTTATGGAAATGTTTGTTTTATTCCATAAATTAAAAATAAAATAAAAAAAGCAATTCAAGCATTGGGAAAAGTAAG